ATTAGACTTATCTGTTTTAATGTTTTATTTCCATATAATTTTAGCAAGCTCGCCAGTATATATATATATATATATATATATATACTGGCGAGCTTGCTAAAATTATATGGAAATAAAACATTAAAACAGATAAGTCTAATCTAAATTATAAATTTATTGTCAAGATCCAGGTAAATTATATTTTTAGATCACTTGTTATGTGTTAAACAGAAAATTAAATTAATTATTTTATTCTCAATGATTCTAGCTGTGTTATTTTCAAGGAATGGAAATTAGTTACTTTTAACGTTATCATATCATTTCTATTATAATAATAATTTAGCAATAACGAATTTTTTTTAACCGTAATGGTAACATCACAGTTAGAAAATCATTCAAATGATTGTTACTTATAACGAGTTAGAAAAGTCACTAAAAAAATTAACTTGGTACTTATAATTCATTATTTTTTAGTTGTTACTTGTAAAGAATAACATTACTCGTTAGTTACAAATTACTTTTTTCAAAAAATAAACGCATAATGTGTATGAGTTACAAGTTACTTTTTAAATAATTACTTTAAAAGGATTTTCCCAACCTTAGCGCAATTTCAACGTTTAGTTAATTATCATTATAGTCATAAAAAAATTGCAGCATTATCAAATTACAACTATAGAAGTAACAGAATAGTAACTCTTCCATTCCCTATTATTTTAATATAACAAAGATTTTTTTCTGTATTCATCATGAGTTCCATTATAAATTACTTCAAATCTAGGACAGAATATATAAAAAACTGTCTCCTGTGTGTAACTTGTGTGTATGTGTGTGAATGCAAATTATTAAATTCATACACATTTAAATTTTGACATTGAGCAATATGAATTGTGTGAATGTCAAGTTGGGCGCATTTTGAATTATCAATACTTATATAGGTCGTGATGGTGCATATATACATTAAATATTATGTGATGAATAATAATAACATTTTTTTAGCACGCACTTTTGGGGACCCATTGCTAATTGGGCGATACCAATTGCTGCCATCGCTGATATCCAAAGGGATCCCAAGTACATTAGTGGTAAAATGACCTTTGGTTAGTTTAATTATCCTTACTACATGCATTGCATTTTGTTCACGAGTTTCAAGGTATTTGAAGGATTCGATTTACATATCTATTCGTCTAATTCGCGTTAATGATTTTTATTTGTTGAGTTCTAGTAAGCATACAGTTAAACTGTTTTCCTTTAAATATGTTTTCTATTAATTTACAACATTTATGATATTTATTTTGTATTTATGCTAGCTACAAGATTCATGTGATAATTTAAATAAAATTTAATAAAATTAGAATTAAAACCATACTTGGCAATCAGTGTTTTTATTATATAACAATATCTATTTCGAATAATAAGACTTCAAAGAAAAAAATTATAGTAAGTAAAAAATGCAAACCAATGTAAACTGACACTGGATAAAATATTGCTTTTTTCGTTTTTTAATTTAATTATCTTATATTCAACTATAGAATAGAAGATAAATATTCACTATGTGAATCTTTATAACTTGTTCTATATTATTGTAGGTTTTCCAAAAATTGATATGTGAATAGCTCTTCGAATTTCCATAATTTACATTTACTGGTATCAATTTTCAAGACTTTATGCTGATTTTTTTCAGCCTTATGCTTATATTCAGCAATGTTCATGAGATTTGCAATCAAGGTGCAACCACGCAACATGCTTTTATTTGCCTGCCACTTTGTTAATGAAGGTGCACAAATTACGCAAGGTTGTAGATTTATTAAGCATCATTATCTTAGTAAGAAGGAACAATAAGTCGAAAGATATACATGATATTAACTTTAAGATAATAGGAATTTGTATTAATATATATAAAGATCATGTTATGTATAGACATTTGTAAAACATGTAAATATATAAACAAAACTTGTTTCTTGATGAATAATGTGTTATCAACTTTTCTCTCCACTAATTTTTAAATTTAAAAATAACGAAAAAATTGTTAATTAAGAGATTGAATACTCTTATTAAATCTTATACGATTGTTATTTTTATAGAAAAATATCTTAGAAATTAAATCACAAATTAAAATTTTATTAAAATAAAAACTGTATTTAAATAAAATTACATGATAGCAATGATATAAACTCACATAAAATATTATATTTGTTTTTCATATAAAATACTAAGTACTAAATATATTAAATACAAAAAAGCTACAATTATATTGTTGTCAGTTTCAATATCGATTTATTATATTATAGATAATCAATCCTATTATAAGATAATAGAAATAATTTTAAGATATAATTCATACATATATTTTATATAAAATATAAACTCAATAAAAATGTGCTCCATATTTTTTTCTGAAACTATATTTAAATGTACTCGTATGTAAATCGTAAATATAAAAGGTTCTAAAATATACGCGTAAATAGATAAGATTATATTATAATAAAATTTATGAAATTACGTATAATTATAATTAAAACACAATAAAGATGTTTATTAGCAA